TGTGTTTTATTTAATATCATGAATTTGTCAAGAAAACAATGAATTTTACTGATATTTTACATGTACATGTAGATTTAATTTAGTGTTTTTTTCTTATCAGTGAAAATAGCAAAATTTAAATACAGTGAATAATTAATGCATTTACAGTACATGTTCTAAAATGGACATATGTCAAAAACATGCAAGCAATTTGCTAAGTTTACCTCTTCACCACCAGTTCCCACTTATTCATTACAAATTTAGTTTATTTACAAAATAGTCCCATTTATAGTCTGCACTTACCGTCAGAATATTGGGATAATATAGACAAAATTTGAATCAATTTTCAGTTTTTACTCAAAAAATTTGGCTATTTTTGTCCCAATCTTCTGAAGGAAAGTGCAGACTATAAACAGAATTATTTTGTGAATTTGTAATGAAAAGAGGAAACTGGTGGCGAAAAGGTTAAAGATACAGACAATAGAATCGCAATATTGGAGCAATAATCTGACAAATAAAACATCTCCATATTGCACCGAATAAAGACACAAGAATGCTGTTTGCAAGATGTTCTGTGATTGACAGAGTAATTAGTTTAGCAATTGAGAGTTGAATCAGAATTCTTATTGGAGTTGGTCACGTCAGACCTTCAGATTTTGCAATCAGAAAAAGAATAGTACCAGGGTAGTTAAAAAAAAATGTTTTGAAAAAAGTAAAAAAATAATACCTCATTTATAATTAGATATTGAGATGGACATAAACCTACTAAGGTTGCAATTTTTCATGACTCAATATTTGTTTGGTAAAAATTGACACATTTTTATACATTTTTCCCTAATTCTTAAGATTTTACTAAATTAACATAATTTCCTATTGGTTTAAACACAATTTTTGAAAAATGATAATAAAATTAAGCAGGTTTAAGTTTTCTGTTGTATTTAAAGGGATTATTTTGTTAATAGGATTAAAGAATTAAATCTGTCATTATCATTGGCAGTATTTGAACATCATGGAACTAATACTATCTGACAATAAAAAATATCCAGATTGAGCAATTATTGAATAAAAACACAACAATGACGTAAATTTACAGGATAAATATACACACACTATAGATCAGTGGGTATGTCGTTCATATGGATAATAATAAAACGAAAAAAAAAAAAAAAACGTGGAGGATGTAGTATTGTATTAAAAAGTCTTACATCCTTCTTAAAAATCAAAAAACTAAACAACTATTTCAATTTGAGTATTTCTTCCGATATCACACAAGGGGGGGGGGGGGGGTAGCTGATACAGGTTACAGGAAATAAAAAAGGCATTTTATGTTTTTACAGGAATATTTAATGAATGTTCCATTTACAGTAAAAAAAATGGTTTTTACACTTTTACATTTTTATAAGTATATTTGATAATTTGTGTTTAAGAATCAAAATTAGAAATTGCGTACGAATTACGACATTTAATGCGAAAAATGCTTTATACGCTTACAAAAAATAATAT